GAGTAGTGTAATACTTACCCAATTGTGTGTCTTAAGTATTTAAGTACTTGGGTTAGTGCCTTCCAATGATGAATACTCAGATTACTTGTCAAATGAAGTGACATTTTAGCCACCTTGATCACTACAAATCATTTTATTTGTTTCCTAAGTTAATTTTCAACTTCAGTTTTGCAGTGCTTAAATACTTCTAAAACTTCATATTTGCTTTTTAACAAGTATACACAGCAGTATTTTGTACAATCATTTATGAATGTGATGAAATACTTTTTACCATCTCTTGTGTGTACAAATTTTAAATCACATCTATTCGTGTGAATAAGTTCCAGAGGTGTTGTGTTTCGTTCAACCGAGTGAAACGGTGTTTTGGCTAACTTGGTCTCTACACAAATTTTGCATTTTCTATTATTAAAATGCATGCTAGGTAATAAACTTAAATTCATTAACTTGTGTATAGAATTAAAGTTTGCATGTCCTAATCTATAATGCCATGAATTAGGCGACTCAAGAATATAAGCAGCAGAAGATATTTTATTCCTTGAGTTATTCGATACAATAGTAAACACATTCACTTGAATAGTCTATCTTTTACATAGCTTTTGTCTACATACACATTATTCTTTTTAAGTATAAACTTAACATATACAAAGACCATTTTGAAGCCGCTTTACTCAATAGATAACCGACACTAAGTTCTTGCGAATATCCAGCACGTGAAGAACATTGTCGAGGCTAAATTTCTTGCCCGATGTCATCTTCAAGATTACTATATCTTGTCCTTCCACTTTTGAATTTGAGGAATTTTTCATGAACTACTCACCCTCGGCTGGTGTGTAGGAAAAGAACATTCGTTTATCGACACATATGTGGCGGGTAGCATCTGTATCTATCACTACTCCATAGGATTTTCAACATTATTGCATTATGAAATAATGACCGACAAATTTATATTTGATATAGCATCAGATTCGATGATATTCGCTTGGGCTTGCTTCTTAGGTTTGCGACAATCAATAAGCGATGTCCTTCCTTTCCATAGTTATAGTAATTACTTTTGAATTTCTTTGCATTCTTCTTAGAAAGTTCAACGAAATGCTTTCTTTTCTTGTTCTTGTTATTTGATTCCACCACATTCGCCTTAGATTGTGATATATGGTTGTCAATACTTTTGTCCGAGCTTCTATTATCTTCTTCGATTCTCAACCGAATGACGAGTTCTTCAATATTCATCTCCTTGCGCTTGAGATAACTCTTGAAGTCCTTCCATATGGGTGAAAAGTTTCTCGATAATTGTAGCCACTTAAAATAATTCACTTAGAGGCATGTTCTCTACGTGAATGTCATGGAGAATCACCTACAATTCCTGTACTTAACCGTTAACCGTCTTTGAATCTATCATTTTGTAGTCAAAAAAATTTTCACAATGAACTTTTTCGTTCCAACATCCCCAGTCTTGTATTTCTTTTCCAACGACTCCCATAGTTCTCTTATAGATTTCTTGGAACTGTATACATTATGCAACGCATTATCCAATCCATTCAGAATGTAATTTTTGCATAGAAAATCTGAATGTTTTCAAGCTTCCAATGCTATTAATAGTGTTCTAAAAGGCGTATGCATGGCGAAGTATGGAGACCAAACTAAGGGCTAGGCGAGCTTAGGCGTAAAATGGTATTTTCTTATTTTAATATTATTTTAATTTCTAATTAATCAAAAAATTGTTAATAATTACAAATAATACCTACCAAACATCTAAAACAAATTTATAGGAAATTTATACATTTTTTCAAAATTTTCAACAAAAAGATATGCTCCAAATGTAAATATTAAATAGTAAATAAATAGAAATTTTTGAGAGATTTTCTTTGTTCAAGGCTTCAATCGGCTAATTTAAATTTAATATCGACGAAATAAAGAAATCAATATTTAAGTTTTAACTTAGAAGTAAAAAAAAATAATAATAAATAAAAATTATGCTCACCTAGGTCTAGTTATGGTGCGGATAACTGCGTCTAGGCGTGCATTAGCGGTCAATAACATAATGGCTTGGCCTTTTTGTCGCACATCGGGTGTTATGTGCAACTTTTAGAGATACCCTGTTATTTTCTCTATCTTGCATGGCAGGAGCATTTTCATTTAAGAATTTTGCCAAATTTAGGATCTAAAATAAAATAATATTTTCTGTTGCCATTTCTTGAAATCAACCTTGATAAATACCTCCGATTTCTCTCTATGTGGAATGAAGATTGTATAAATGATGGGAGGGGCAATTGCAATCGGAAGGATCGCACCGGTAAGAACAATTCCTTCCGAAGTTTCCATATTGAAAGTATCATTCGAAATGGAGTCGGTATTGAAAATCATATTCATTTCTATTTACAAAAACATAAGATAAACGACAGATCAAATTCGAGAATGGGTAGAAGATGTTAAACAGTAGTGAAGTCAGTTTAACCAAATAGGATAAAGTTGTCACTCCAAAAATCGACTTAAGATTGTTAAAAAATTAAAGAGTGACGACTTTATAAACCAAAAAATAAACTTACCAACCTTACCGTAAACTGGATAGAATAATGGCAAGGAAATAAAGAAAATATTCCAAAAAAATATCTCCAAATGAAATGGATACAAAGTCAAGGCAAAAGTTGAACTCTTGGTCCTTAAGTCGATTTAGCCTCTCAACGATGCCTACAAATGATGGCAATCAACTCCCACAGTACAACGACTTTCTTGTGTTAATAGCATTCTAAAACATAAGATCAATGAACCAAAACCGAATTTTGTACTCCTTTTTATGGATGAATGAAAAAAAATAAGAATTTATGCAAAGCTTATTCAAAATTTTGGTAGAGAAAGAAGAGAGAATGTTATGCTATGATCGCATATCATTGGGATGAAGAAATGAACGTCCCAAGAACCTTACTTATAGAAGATGAGAGACTGTAGGTGAAGTGTTGCATATTAAACCTTGCAACCTTAAGAAGGGAAACATCAATTGCTATTGCTGGCCTTTCTCTCTAGCACCAGTGTCAAAATATTAATAGAAAATTTTCACCCTCCTGTAATTTGAGCGACAGCCCTGTCGCTCGAACGATAGGCGAGCTTTCTTCTAATTTGGATCACAATTTCTCATTCATCTGGCACTGGTTTGATTATTCCAAATATATTACGACGATCTATTCGACGAGTAGAACAAGTTAGTCTATTTACATTTGTAATTTGACAATCAGATCAAGTCCGAATATTTGGCTGAAATTAACACAAAAGTCACTTTTCCTATTTTATACTAAACCAATGTCGATACTTATATATTTGTTATTACAATTTTATACTACAATGGTGCTTCCTTATATTTTATTACTTCGATTTAGTATAAGTCCGGGCACTAGGCTAAATTTCCCCAAGTTTTCTTTCTAATCAGCCCAAAACCCAAAAAAAGAATATGGCCTAATAATGGAGAATGGTTAAGGCCCATATGAGAATGTTCTTCGTACCAATCCCCTACCCACCCTTGGATCCATAGCTTAAATTTCATTAGAATTTAGAAGTGACCTAACTTATTGATTTGTTTTATCTTGGTCACCTAACTTTATTTTATTTCCTTTTGATCTTTTAACCGATACTTTTATTCTATTTGATCATTTTGTATGTAATCATGACAAAAATTAGTGGCTAGTCACACATAACTGAGAAAATGAGTGACCCAATTCTTGTTTTACATTAAGCCCTTCGATGGGGATTAAACCAGTGTTTTAAATAGCTTTTGATAAAAGTTTATGAAGTATGTGGTTGAAAAATTGTGAATTCTATGAAAATATAGTGAAATTAATTATTGATTTTGACTTTGATAATAGTTTAGATTTTTTTTATTTTTTATTTTTACCAGACTTGGACTTATTATTATTATTATTATTATTATAATTATTATTATAGCAACAACGAAAAGCCAAATAAGTAAATTAAGAACCCTAAATTTGCCATTTTTTTTGTCCAATCTCTTTTGGTAGGGGAAAAAAAGAATCTTTGACATTATCAACTTACATACCGGAATGACGCTATTAAAAGTTATTTGTTATCGCACGTGTACAAGTAAGCTCGATTCATACAAGAAATTTGCATTAATTTACTAATCGTGAACCAATTTGTTAGCACTAATGAGTGCAACCTACCCAAGACGATAATTCAATTCAATGACTGCAAACACTAAATAATGAATAAAAACTTATAGCACGCGGTAACTATCTTGCTATTCAGCCCATGTTTGATGTTTGACAACCATTATAAAGAGGTTTTTGCAAGAATGATTTTTGGAATAGTGATTTTTTGAAATATGTGTGATTAAAAAATAAGAAAAAATTGGATTTACATGTGAAATATTTTGTTATGCGAATATGTGATTGGAAATGATTTTGAGATTTTTTTTTTAAAATAATGATTGTCAAACTACAATAAGAATCTATAAAAATAACCCCTTCTAAATCTTTACTTTCCATACTTCGTTTCCAGTACTTCCTTACATGTCCTCCTATCGCTTTTTGGCAAGAGTGAATAAGTTTAGCGCCCCTCATTTTGCTTGAGCTTTCTCTCTAATATGGACATTGTTTTGAATTTGATTAAGTTGCTCCCACGACTTAGATTGAAATGATAACTACATTTGTTTTATTATTTACATACTAGTAATTTATTGTGTTATGACAAATTCTCATCATCGATCTTGGACGAAATTTGCACCATTAATTTTTTTTATTTTATTTAAAAGATCCCATCGATTTTGCCTAACACATTAAAGTTATTTGAACCGTCACTTTGAAGCTCTCTTGTAAAGAAATCTTGAATATTACTAGCATCACATCAAAGAATAACCTCATGGCAAACTTTAAACTCGTGATTCTTCTGCAATATCCTCTTAACGCTTTTACACTATTATACTCCCAAAAAAGAAAAAAAAAAAAAAAAAAAAAAAAAAAAAAAAAAAAGAAAGAAAAGAAAAGGATGACCCCCTTAATTATTATTAAAAAACGAAAAGAGAAGAAACGAACTGTAAAATAATGGACAGATACAGGGGAGACCGGTACGGTGACTACTCTACGACATCATATGGGCCCAGCTACGACAACCGCCATCACTTCTACGACGGCGACGACCGCCCCTACCACCACCACGACCGTCATTACTACAACCGCTACCATGACGCGGACCATCTACACCCCAACTTTAACGGCGAGGAAAATTATCTAACTTCCAGTCACCATGACAGCAATTTGCCTCTCTCGGGGCATAAGAGGCCAATTTCTCAATCCGGTATATTGGAATTTTTTTCTGTCTTACTCAGTTGATTAAGTTTCTGCGTAAGTAATTTTTTACCTATTCAGTCACGTATTTTTTTTTTTCAGACTTTGTTGATTTTGTGAAGCTATTCGTTGGAGGAGTTCCAAGAACAATCACCGAACAAGATGTAAGTAGCACTGACCATCATTGATCAGTGGGTATGTAGTTAATTTTTAATAGGTTCGCATATGAATTGCATCGGTTTCTGCCCGAGGGATGAGGGTGGGGGTCTGGGGTTTGCTACTCCGAAAAAAACGACAACCTAGCTGTTCGGGAAATCCACTACAAACTTTCAGTTACTAAGTTTTCTGGGTTCTACTTTTCCATGATCTCAAATTCTAGTTTCTGCTGGTTTACTTTCCACGGTAATAGTAATCTCTAACTTTCTATTCAGATTCGCTCCATTTTTGGAGAATATGGACATATTGTTGAGGTTATTCTTCTCAGGGACAAATGGACTGGTGTACAGCAAGGTAACTATCAACGTTCACTACAATGATTTGTTTTTTATATTTTCTGAGTTGACAAACATTGTATTCTAGCATTATCTGGCCAGATAAATTGCTATATGCACATTATGTGCAGTTGACAGACTATACATTAATTATAGTTGAAATAAAGTTATGATACCTCGAATTATTCTGTGGAGTTTTATCATCATTAGTTTAATTTTTTTACCATGAGAAATGATATTGTGAGAATTTGAATGTGTCAGTGTGCATAAATTTGACCTTGTTTAGAGAATCTCCAAGAGGCTTTTTATGAGTCTCACCTTCTCTATTTTAGAGAGTTGATTCTTATTTTGGTGGAGTATAACAAACTCTTAACATGTAAAATGTAAAATAAAGAGTGAATTTGGCTCTCCAACTGTAGAGATCCAAACCCACTCTCTACATAAAACATTAAATGCTTTTGTAAACTGCTTCACAACTTTTTATACAATAATAATAATAATAATTATTATTATCACTATTATATATATATATATATATATATATAAAATTGTTTTTTGGTATTGTCATTAGAGATGGAAACTTTAAATTAAATTTGATTTATGGTTTCCTAACTTCTTAAGTCAGTTAATTTTGGGCATTGACAAGGTGCTTTTACTGCCAGATATTTACCCCATTTGGTGCTATTGAAGACATTTACATTGTCCGAGATGAATTCAAGCGAAACCGTGGTTTGTAACTTTTTATTAATCTTGTTAAGGAAGTAAATCACGTTAATTTGGAAAATAGTATAACTAGAATTTTTTGTGTTTCCATTCTTATGTCATGTTACTAAATATGTACTCTTGTTATTTTTCTGTATAATGAAATTAGAGGGGAGGAAGAACTTTAACTTCTTCTCTCCATTATTCTTTTCCGCATAGCGACATGGTATCAGAGCATGGATATTCTAGGGTTTAGTACTTACCTCTGCTTCTGAATTTTTTTTCCTTCTTTTTGACTCTATATATCTATATCTTTCATCTGTCTCTTCTTCCTTCCCTGTTCTGGTCGAATATATGGTTGACAATTGAGGAGTTTATGACGTCGCCGGAGCTTGAGATTGCAAGAGGTGACTGTCGATTGTTCGTTCGGCAGTGTGTGGTAAATCGAGTGGTTTTAAGGTGTCTGGCGGTTTTGAGTTGTCGAGTGGTGTTTAAGTTGCTCATTTGGTTGACTGTGAGCAGTGGTGGTTGAGCTGCGTGTTTATTTGACTGTTAGCAGAGGCGCGAAAATTGGAACGTTGAAGATTTCTGGGGTCAACGAACGTTGAATTATTGGCGGTGAGTAATTGATTTTTTTGTTGGTTAGGTCTGCTGAAATAATTGGACAGTGAGGCAGTGAGTGATTTGTAGACTGTGAGCAATTGGGCCAGTGTTATGCTTTTAATTTTGTGGGTCAATTTGGTTGGGCCTTTAATTTATTCCAGTGGATTTGGTTTGAGCCTTTAATTTATTCCGTTTCATCATGTCATCCAGGATGGAGATATTCAATCTGACCGGACCTATGGCGCTTGAAAAATTGAATGAAAGTAATTACACTTATTGGGCTAGGTGTGTCGAAGTCTTTTTACTAGGTAAAAGTTTATTTAATCACTTGACCTTAGACAAGCCATCGTCTAAGACATCAGAAAGTGATTCTACTCTTAATGATTGGTGGGATCAAGAGGATAACGCTATAATTGGGCTTATGATCGGTAGCATTAAACCTCATATAGGGTCTTCATCCCTCTATATGACTACGGCGAAACAAATTTGGGAGCATCTCAAAAACATACATTCTGGAGCTAAAAATGTTACCCGAATTTATGAGACATGTAAGCAATACTTTGGGCTTGAGAAGGGCTCTTCCAGCCTCGTTAAATGTTATAATAAGTTTTGAGCTGTGTCAGTAAAGAAATATACATCAACCTCTCTTTCTTGATTTGAAAGTTATGGAAAAATAGCGTGAAGACATCGATGTTGTTAAATTCTTTATTGGTCTTTCGCTTGAGTTTGAAGAAGTCCGAGCACAGATATTAGGTGAAAAGGAGCTTCCCAATCTTGCAGAGACATTCTCTCGTATTCAGCGTTCTACCTGCTACCTTATCAGATAGTACACCCAACGGAGGTCGTTCTGCTTTTATTGCTCGGGGTGGCTCATTTAGGGATGAATGTAATATTCGAAGTGGATGTGGTTTTAGCCCTCGAGGTGGACGATACACTAGAGGCAATGCTCGTTCGGGAAATCGTGACCCTCGAAAATGTACTCACTGTGGTCGTATTGGTCATTCCGTTGATTATTGTTGGGATGTACATGGCAAACCATCTGGCTTTGCCAATCAGGTCTCATCCAATGAGGCCCATAACTCTGTATCTGGACCAGTGGCTAACTCTAGTTCAACATCCGAATCAGATCTCTTATCTGTCTTATGGGACGAGTATGCTGAGTTCTTAGCTCATAAACATGCTACTTCCAATTTTATGGCCACTCTCGCTCAGTCAGGTACCGCATCTTCTCTCTATTATCGTCCTCTCACAATCCATGTATTATAGAATTTGGAGCAACTGAATACATGATTGGTTCGTCTACTTCTCTTCTTGATTATCATCTTGTCATTTCTCCGAAATGTGTCACTCTTGCTAACGGTTCCCGAACTAGTGTGGCAAGGTCGGGCGATGCCCATCTTAGTCCTAATATTGATCTATCGGCTGTTCTTCATGTTCGTGGCTTTCCCTTTAGTTTATTGTTTATCAATAAAATTACCGCAGCTCTTCAATGTTTTGTAACTTTTTATTCCTTTTGTGTTTTTAGGATCTCAAGACGAAGATGATGATTGCATGAAGTTGGTGGCTTGTATTACCTAGATCTTTCTCCAGTCTCTTATCATCGAGCTCTCCAGCCCTCTGTTTCACCTATGCAATGCCATTGTCGTCTTGGTCACCTTTCTCTTTCCAGTGTAAAATGTCAAGTTGTGAGTCTTTGTAACGTGCGCTTTCTTGAGTGTGAAGCTTGTCAGCTTAGCAAACATCACCGTGTGTCTTTTCCTTTAAGAACTGTTAGTCGAGTTTCTAGTTTATTTGAGATAGTCCATTCTGATGTATGTGGACCGATAAATATTTTCTCTAATAAATTTCAATATTTTATCACTTTTGTGGATGATTATTCGCGTATGACTAGGTTGTTTTTAATGAAGAATTGCTTTGAGTTACTTTTTATATTTCAAGCCTTTCGTACTTTGATTAAAACTCAGTTTAATAAGAAGATTCGTATTTAGCGGTTTGATAATGCCAAAGAGTATATGTCTGCTTCTTTTACTTCATATCTCTCTTTCAAAGGGTATTATTTACCAAACATCTTGCGCATATACTCCACAACAAAATAGAGTTGCGGAATGCAAAAATCGTCAATTGTTAGAAGTTACTTGTGCTCTCCTTTGTCATATGCATGTCCTTAAACGATTTTGGAGTGATGTTGTCCTGACTGCATGCTATCTCATTAATGCATGTCATCCTCCGTTTTAGACGCATCTCCATTCTCTATTCTATTTTCCTCCTCCACAGTATTCGTTAACTCTTAAGGTTTTTGGGTATGTTTGTTATGTCCATCATCTCAGTGACAAACTCAACTCTCGCTCTATGAAATGTATTTTCCTTGGTTACTCCCAAATACAAAAGGGATATCGGTGCTATAGTCCTATGCTATTTTGTAAGTGCAGATGTCACTTTTGACAGGTTCGCACTCTATTTCTCGAATCATAGTATATTTTCCGAATCCACTCGAGTCCCGTTAATTCACCCATACCATATCCACCTATTGGTATTCCTCCAGGATATGTCTCGACTCTAGCATCCGAGTTGTACTCCTCTCATCAGAAACAATCACCTCCTTTACAGGTTTATAGTCGACGACCTAAGCCACCAACATCTGTGGCCCCATCCGTCATCTCCCTGTCTCCAGATCCTGCATCCATCATCTGTTCTGATCTTGAGTCCTTGCTCATTGCTCTCCGTAAAGGTAAACGTACTTGTGTAACTTAACATCCTATAAGCCACCATGTTACTTGTGATTCATTGTCCCCTTCTTTTTCATATCTCACGACCCAGATTTCTAGCGTTTTTGTACCTAAGACAGAGACAAAGGCTTTATCTAATTCTGGGTGGCGAAAGGCTATAGAATTAGAAATGGCAGCCTTACACAAGAATAAGACCTGGGAACTCGTTCCTCGACCGGTTGGGATACGTCCTGTTGGTAACAAATGGATTTTTGTTCTGAAGTTCAATCGTGATGGGACTGTTGATCAATTGAAAGCCTGACTGGTTGCTAAAGTATACACAAAAACTTATGGCTTTGATTATGATGAAACATTCTCTCCAGTTGTTAAGATCTCTTCTATTCGAGTTTTGATTTCTATCGCTGCTACCCTTCGTTGTCACCTGTTTCAATTGGATATTAAAAATGCATTCCTTCATGGTGATTTGCATGAAGAGGTTTACATGGAGCAATCACTTGGGCTTGTTGCTCAGAGGGAGTATAAGGACTATATTTGTAAGTTGAAAAAGGCTCTATATGGGTTAAAACAATCACCAAGGGCATGGTTTGAGAAGTTTTCTGAGATTGTTTTGGAATTTGGTTTTCAAAGGTATTAGACAGATTATTCAGTATTTCATCTACAGACTGGTATAGGTTATATTATCCTTGTAGTTTATGTAGATGATATTGTAATCACTGGTGATGATGTAGATGTAATTGCCTGATTAAAATAGTTTCTACAGAAACATTTTCAGACCAAAGATCTATGTAAGTTATGATATTTCTTGGGTATTGAAGTCGCTAGGTCACAAGCACGTATTAATTTATCTCAAAGAAAATATGTATTTAATCTATTAGATGAGACAGGTTTCCTTGGAACCCGTCCAGTTGATACTCCCACGGATTCCAATGTGAAGCTTTTGAAGGATAACGGAAAATTATTTGAAAAATCAGGAAAATATCGTCGTTTAGTTGGAAAATTGAATTATCTTACCATCACAAGTCCAAATATTTCTTATGCAGGTAGTATCATTAGTCAGTTCTTGAATGCTCCTCGGGTTCCTCATTGGGAAGTTGTGATACGTATTATTTGGTATTTGAAAAAGGCTCCAGGTTTTGGATTATTGTATAAACCGAATGGACACATCACAATTGAAGGGCTTACAGACGCAGATTTAGCAAGATCCCCGTCAGACAAACGATCCACTATTGGTTTCTGTACTTTTCTTGGTGGTAATCTTGTTTCTTGAAAAAGTAAGAAACAAACTGTAGTAGCAAGGTCAAGTGCAGAAGCAGAATATAGGGCGAGGGCTTAAACTACTAGTGAGTTGACATGGTTGCAACACTTTCTTTAAAAAATCAATCTCTCACCATCCACTCCTATTTTAATGTTTTGTGATAATGAGACTGCTCTAGATATTGCATGAAATCTAATCTTTGATGAAAGATTCAAACATATTGAAGTTGAATGTCATTTTGTTCGGGGCAAAATAGTGAGTGGTGATATATGTACACCATTTGTTAAGACAGGAGACTAACTTGTTGATATGTTTACAAAGTCATTGAATGGTAATCGATTGAAGTATGTTTGTTCCAAGTTGGGCTTACATGATGTATGTGCTCCGGTTGAGGGGGAGTGTTAAGGAAGTAAATTACGTTAATTTGGAAAATAGTATAACTAGAATTTATTGTGTTTCCATTCTTATGCCAAGTTACCAAATATGTACTTGTTTTATTTTTCTATATAATGAAATTAGAGGGGAGGAAGAACTTTAACTTCTTCTCTCCATTATTCTTTTCCAAATCGTGACAAATCTCAGTCTCCCTATTTAAATTATCTAGAAAATGCATGAGCTAAAAGAATCATTTAAAAAAATGACTCTGATCGCCCCAACTATTCATCCAAGTAGTGATAGGAAAGGATATAATTTGACATGTTCTCACTTTTAGCTGAAGCTCTCGTCAATAGTTTATCTATTGTCCCCTCTTGTACGTTGCAAATCCTTGCTTGTGGATGATAAAGTCATTCTTTATATTTCCTCGATACTGACTTTTCATTGCTTTCAAGGATGCGCATTTGTTCAATTTTCTTGTCGAGATATGGCAATTGCTGCAATGACGGCATTACATGGAAGATATATGATGAGAGTAAGTCCTATAACTTGATGAGAATATATTATTTTATTTTTAAGTAATTCCTAATGTACTGCTGTGAAATAGGGATGTGATCAGCCTTTAATTGTTCGATTTGCGGATCCGAAGAAGCCAAGGGCAGGGGATTCTAGGTGCCTTATCTTCTGAAAATCCTCTTTACTTATTTTCCTTTTTTTTTTGTGGCAGTTGCTGGTGATTTCGTTGGATATTTTGGTAGATGTAGAAATGGATTTTTCAGAGCATAAATTATATCGCTTTATGTAGCTATTTAAGCTGTCTGCTTTTGGTCCCTTATCATTGAATCCATTGGGTCCATTATTTTTGTTTTGCATTCGTTCACCTTTTCATATGATGCATCTTCCGCAGGCCTTCAGCATACGTAAAGGATCAATTTAATGGACATATGCTTCCTAATGAAATCCGTCCAGTCGAGGTAATATAACGATCCTGAGTTACTATACATAATCTGGAGGCGCAGGGTGCCCGTTTCCTTATATATTTACCGTAAGCATGCCATCCTGTTGATATTGTTTGACTAAATTTGTCCAGTGTTTCTGTTTGCTGGAGGTATCTTGTAGGGAAGCTACTCATTAGTAAACAAGCTGTCATCACACTTTTTATTGTCTTAATATAAAAAATGGATGTAATTTTAGAATTTCTTTTCTTACATAGTTTTGGTTTGTTTCTGCCATATCTAATAAATCTCATTAATTATACTAATGGGAATAATATTTTTTGCAGTCTCCACAAATTGGACGCAAGCCCCCAGCAGACTCAAGCACCTGCAGTGCATCTGCTGCCCACGAAACAAATTCAAGTAGTGAGATGACACATTCGATAGACTGTGACTGGAGTGAGCATGTGTGTCCTGATGGACATCTGTACTATTATAATTGTGTAACATGTGAGAGCAGAGTAAGATTTTCTTCTTGATGCAAAGTTTTATTTCCTCGAGATTTTTTTCCACTTTAGATGGTGATAAATGTCTGGAAAATGACGAGTAGTGGGAGATGCCGGAGGAATATGCACATTATGAACAAGAACTAGAAAAACTGGAGGAGCAGCAGCAGCAAGAATCAAAGTCGCAGGTCCTTTCTTCCCCAGAGGTATCTCAAATAAAACTGTGCATCATAAGCCACAACTATCTTCTCAAATACCTCAAATGATTGGTTATAATTTGACTATTTAATACTCTCTAGGGCTATGTATTTTCGTTTCATGTTAGGATCTCAAAGTTAAAGATGAAATTTTGTAGATTTTATATTATATTGACTTTGCATGCCATTAATTTTTTTCTTAGGTGCCCTTTAGCTTCTGCTTGTTACTATTGCAACGATAAATCAATCACATTTATCATAAGTAGCTTAATTAAAGAAGCTTCATTTGGCATTCAACTCCCTCCACCCAATGCCTCGTGTGTTATATTATTCAACGTATAGCATACTTCCATAAGTAAATACACAAGGAACATTCTGGACCGTATGATATGATTGTAAGACATTCTAATGTGCTAGGTGACTTAGCACAAATATTCTTGGCTTGTTTGGTGAAGTTTTTTACAAGTGTTGGACAGTATTAAAGAAGAAAAAGAAATTAAAATTTTGTAGAGGGATACTTCGAAGTAAAGGCCAAAACTAATAGTGCTTGTGATGGATACTCGGGCGTAGGTGATATCAAGTTTGTTGCGCCTCCCATACTAGCTATAGCTTTTTGAAAAAGTAGTAGATTTCCTTACATTAGTTAGGATCAGAGTTAGAGGTCTCAGGTTTGATTCTCCTAGGGAAAAATGATGTGAAGCATCACTTGAACATGATGGTTTGCCTATTTCATAAGGGATAGTTTGAAATGAAGGCCCAAAAAATAATGCTTGGTAGTGGATTCCTACATCAACTATCTAGTTCTGTCTTGTATGCCATTTATTGTTTAAGATATGTTATTTGAATGAGAATGTCTAGATAGAAATATTAAATTTGTGGCATTGCCCTCTGCTCTACCTTTCCGTTAATAGATGATTTTTTCTTTTTTAATTGACTATGAGAAACAATAATATATCCCTTCTAATTCACTAATGAATAGTTTCCCTTCTCCAAGAAAGGATACCCTTTTTTTCTCTAGCTTGACAACCTCTACCCTGTGAAGAGAAAATTGAATGATGACTGTTTCGTATTTTATTATCTTCTATGTTAAGCAAGTCTCTTTGAGAAAAATCAAATCCGTGTTTCGACTTAGTTTTTCTGGGATCATGTGGCATTTTATTGCATTAAATATATTAGCCTCCATTTGGAAGAAACTTATAAATGGTTTTTAAATTTAGTCGAAGTCAAACATTAATTTCAATTATACATACTATTCCCTTTTACTACTACCATTTATAAATTTGCCAAACGGAGGCTTATTAAATATCATTACTAGCCCCATGTTGCAAGCAATGCTGGTGACATATCTGGGCATTCACGATCAAGTATCTGAACGGTTTTTTCTTTGGATTTTCAGGAACTTAATCAAGCGCATGAACAAGCAACAACAATTCCAGCATTTGAGCCGGCGATTATGTGAATGGTGCGGTCTTGCATTGCTTTTGAGTTAATTTGACTGTAATATTGGCGGGACTAGGTTTTTCAGCTGACCTATTCAAGGTTTTGTAATTATCTTTTCCATTTGACCTCAAATTCCTATTATGTTTTCAGGGGCTTAGTTTGATTAATAGTTTTTCAATGTTTAGTTGTTTTATGCACCTGTTATCTGTCTCGTGTACACGAGGACAGTGAAATCACTTTTGGAAAAGAAAGTAAAACTAGAAAACTATTGCTGTACTTAACCCAGCACAAAAGAAAGTCCGTTGGAAGTTTGGAATGGCCATAAAAAAGGTGTGGATTGACAACACTGCCAACTAAATAAGACAGGCCTCTGAACATTTTTTCCCGGCCACCAAACTTCAATTTCCTTGTCGTCCATAAAGACCCACTATAGTGGTGAGAATAGTCGAGTTGCTTTTGTTTTTGTGGTGGCCTGGTTGGAGTTTGCTTAGGTAACTCAGAATTAACCGGCTGAACGAACTGGGTTGTTCAGAGCGTGTTGTTTTCTATAATAGTTGTGTTCAATTATGTGCCAAAGCGGGGCGGTTAGGCGGAAAAAGCAATATTTTAAAAAATTGCCCCAGAACCTGTCGACCCACTGTGCCGCCCGATTTTATGAAACCCATTGACTCGTTTCTGGTTTCACCGTCTGAATTTATGAAAACCACCCAAAAACTCATGTTTTTTTTATTTTTTCTTAATTTTTTTTTTAAAAAATTTTCGGGCAGATTCAAGTTCGATCTATGCTTGGGTCAGTTTTAAAGACATGGGGATTAAGCAGTACATTGTGTATGTTGGGTTGGGGTGACTTGTAGAAATATATGGCACGTTTTCCTAATTCAATGGCTCTAGCCATTTTTCCAAGAATTTAAATGCACACTAGAATTTGCTATATGGATGTAGTTGAGCTCAAGCCATTACTCGGTTACGAACACTGAGTTTCTTGACTTGACTGTCGGAATATTTACGATGAGTTGGTGTCGACATTTCTATTGATGCATGATTGTTGGACGTTGGAGTGTTTGAGCCATTTTTCCCTCATTTTTAGAACAACGTGACTGTTGCAAATTATTTTATATTTTATATCTGACATATATTTGACAAGATTAGGCTTTTGAATTTAAAGTTCTACATTTGCCCTTTGTATATTCGAACCGGATGGGAAAGCTATCAAATTTAAAGAAAAAAAATGCATAAATAACAAAACTTGGGTAAAAAAGGAAAAATGCCTTAAATATCAGAGGAATGCCCAATGTACAGACATTTTTTCACAAATGACTTACAGGGCCCCTCACTGTGCAGGGGTCCCACTGGTATTAAAAAAAATAAAAAATTATGTGGGCCCCACATGTCTGTGTTGTCTGGTAGCACCCTGGTTCTGTAAGGGTAGCAATGCTTTAAATATCAAGGGTTGTGCTGCACTTGCAGAAAAAAGCTTACAGAACCTTTACAAAACAACTTACAAGTGGGATGGATGGGTGATTTTTTGGCATTTTTTTTATTAGACATGAGGTCCACACATTGTTTCTATTCTGTCAAACTTCTGTGAAGTGAAATTTTTTTCATATGAAATTTCCCAATATCGAACATTATTATCAAGTGTGTCATACGTGACAGCCCATCGATGTGATATAAAAATGCATTTTGGGAGAAAAAATGGCAACTCGTGACCATGAGTTGTTAGTGACTATTTGGGAAATCCTTTCTTCTTTATTAAGAGTCGTCGATTGGACAGAAGTGTCAATTTTCTTGCAGTAGAATGAGTAGAATGTTGTCTTTCTCCAACAAAGCAGAAAAATATTTTCCACAATGGACTAATCAAGGGTGTCCACTCAGGCATTTTGCTTAATAGAGAAGAAAAGGTGGTTTGAGTATCCCATAACGTGACGTCCCTTTCAAGCAATTGAGACGTCGTGTTGGGCCCCTTTTTAAAGTAATTTTTCTTTTAGAAAGTAAGATACGAATTATTTTTCAAAAGTAAAATTACAATATTTCCCAATCTTTGTCCCACGTTGCAATTTGGTCATAACCTTTTTTTTTTTTTTTTTTAATTCCTTATATTTCAATCTTCAACTTTAAGTAATTAGCGAGCGAAATTTGTTCTTAAGGATAATTTTTACCATTTTATTTAAGTAAAAAACTAAAATGTAAATGACGGAGTTTTTCAAGGCAGATAGTTCAGAAGTTGGAGGTTCGATTCATGGGGCTTTTGGAAGGCAAGTTTTTTCTTGGAAGGCAGTCGTTCTCCTGAAAGGCAAGACGCATATATGGGTTTGACTCGCTTGCCACATTGACAGTTCAGTTGGGAGGGCTCTTGGACCCTGGTCAATTTGGGGCGCAATCCGCAGTTTACCTTGTCTGCGTGAAGAGGGATTGGATTGTAGGTCCCAGGATTAGTCGCTGTAAGGTGGACAACTGGGTATAAAAAAAAAGAAGCTATAATTACAGTGGACGTGGTGGCTCGCCACTACCAATTGACGATCATTTTTGAGTGGTAGAATTTTTTGCATGCGAGATCTTATCGAATTAAAATCATACAATTTATTTTATTCATTCAACAATTTGATCAAAACTTGACCATTCTGGTTCTTCCTCATTTCTCTGCCGCTTCAAGTGATTAAAAAGTCTAATCCATTCAAATTTTCATGCATAATGTGAATACGAACCATAAACTAAGCTCTCGTTTGCCTCCCATTTTTTGTAAATAAAAATTGATGGAATAGTTTTTTTTTATTTTTAAAATGAGTAGTTGAAAAAGAAAGAAATTTTTTTGATTTACATGTAAAATTATTTTATAAAAAATTGTGTGATTAAAAATATGAGAGAGAAAAATTGAATGTAATGAGATTTAAACTGGGAGCTATATTAAAAATTTCTGCTCATCAATTCTAAGTTCGGTTGGTTTTTGACTTTGGTTGCTCATCGTTATAAAAAATTAATATGCCAAATTAACACGACATGATCCCAATAGGTGAAACAGAAACCTCTAACGTTACTACAACGTTAGTTCTCAAACTTAGAAGCAAAGTTATTATTTTTGTTTGGTATTAAAATTCTCAACCAACCATTTAATTTATGGCTATGAATCAGCCGCGTCTACTACCAAATAATTTATTATTTATATATATCAATGATTTTGTTATTTGTAAATAAAAATGATATATAAACTAGTTTCGAAAATGATAAGGAAGGAAAATATTAAATAAAAAATTAATTGTATTTTAAATTGATAAATGATAAAGTGACATGTGGACGTTAATAATTTTTTATATAAATCTTGATCTATGCATAGCAAGGCAATATCACTAGCCAAAGGAATATTAAAAAAAAATGAAAAAGAAATATAAGGCTACTAGGGTTTGGTGTTTCGTACAACTGAATGATCCAATCCTTAGATCTCTTCTAAGTCTCCTCTCTACAAATTGTCATTGTTCTACAAAATTTATCATATTTTATTTCATGTTCGATGAAGATGATGAAAGCTGCAACAATTCACAGAAGAGGCGGATTTCCAGTTTGTGCGTGAATTTAACGCGATGAGTACAGACTTAATTTGGGGGATTTTGACACGAAATTTAGTCAACAAATTCCCGATTTAGAAATTAATTGGTGTTGTATTAGTTCGTTAGATTCACGCACAAACTCGAAATCTGTCTTTTCGTTTTCGGTTTCGATATTACCAATCTGTTATATTCTAAATCGCGACGGCTGAGGAAGGCAATTTCTAATCAACCAGGTTTGTTTTCTAATTTTATCTGTTTTATTTTAAATTTATATTTTGTTAATTATTTTTTGATCTTGATTTGGTTAATAAATGGAGTTCCTAGATTGTCGAATCTGCTGGAAAAAAGATGACTAGAATTAGTAAAACTGAGATTAATCTTGTTGTTATTAGATATTTATATTTCCTTAGCAAATGAATATGATGCACATGATAAACATGCTTTTCTTTTGTGAAAGTTAGGAACTTTACATGGAATATATTTTTCAGTTCGAGATGGTTTCATTTTTTCTTATAGTTTTGCTGAGATTGAAAGGAATTGCAAATCCTTTTCTCAGCATTTGAAGCTAATAATGAGGATAGTCCATAGAGATATAAGCTGCAGATTAGTTTTTGGGGGAGATGGACAGTGTATATATTTGGGTTTGTCGGTAGAGATTATGAGAATTGATTTTTTGACGAGAGAAAAGTGGTCCTGTGAGTGAGGAAGTAAAAGATGAAGGCTGGAAAAGTGAAATAACGGTCAAAAAATTGATTTTTTGGGGGTTGAAAATTGTTACCAAACGGGGCATAGCTAAGCTTAATAAATTTACTTATAAGTGAAAAGGTGGAGTTGAAATACACAAATTTTCTTGTTAACTGCCCAAAAAATGTAAAATTTTTATGCTATCCAAACATGTTTAATTCACTTACAAGCAAAGCTCAACTTGCTCAGAATTATGTTCCTTTATGATTTGATTGTTTGATTACAAAGTGGTACCTAATACTTATATTAATTACGTTTATTTTCAGATTTGATTCATAGTTGAAATTCACTCGTGATGTTTTATGCTGAAAATTTACTGATGCAATGATTTGATTAGTCTGTGTGTGTGTTTTTTTTTAAGAACATTGCCTGAAATGGAAGAATACATTTATGTTTTTGTCTTGTGAAAGATAACGCTGAATATGAAGTATGCCAGAAATTTTTGCAAAAAACTTGTTCAATAGTCATTAATTCTTCTGGCCGACATGGAAATGTAGGGGATAATATTATTCCCTTTCTTCTACCTACATGGGAGGAAGTGCTTCGAGTCCTACTTGTTTTCGGGGTAACTTCATCTACACCTTCCCCTGTTGTCCATTTCCTTGATCTATATGGATGCTTAAATTTGATTGACATTTTTCGGTTCAAGAGGTTCATTTTACACATTCACGTAATACGATATTGGATGATTCGACATATGGTAACTTCTTACTTTCATTTATACTGTGAGATTTGAATCATGTAGATGGAATTTCTGACATTGTTAACCGTTTGTTTTAGGTTTCATGAATGTTTATTAACCTCTTTATGTTTGGTACACTTCAGAATGAATTTCTGGTGGCAAGTTTTTCAATATTTCAGAATAGCCTTTGTCGTAGTCAAGGTGAAAAGTTTTCCTCCTAAAATATTCACAGTTGAAGACACCTTTTTGTAGATTGAACCGAATGTTCAAATGCATTTATATGTTCTGCATATCTTCCCTGTGTTTCCTTTATTGCCTGACTGTGAGCTCTTGAGACTCTTGGCTGTAAATTGGGGAGGAGCTTGGAAGACTCCCTGCTACTTGAGCAACTCAGGGTCTCCTGAGGATTGGAAATTTGGGTAGGACGAAAACACAGGATGGGAGACTCGGGTAGAGAAGATGATGGGTGAAGAAGAAGAGGAGGATAATAAAGGGGACCTGAAAGATGGAATAAGCCCACCCACACGGCCTCACCTGTCGACACTCAATTAAGAAGGAGACTCGAAAGAATAACTTTACGCAAGTCAAAAGTGCTTGTCATATTCAGCCCTTGTTTGAACCACATTATTTTGGGAAAATTCATTTTTGAATAGTGTATTGATTGGAAATGTGTGGTTAAAAAATAAGGAAAAGTTTCGAATTTGCGTGTAATATTATTTTTTTGGAGAATTTGTAGTTGACACGATGTTAAATCACTGTTTAAGAATGTATTTTTTTCAAATAATGTGGATCAAACAGGACCTCAATAGTGTACTCTTATTGTGACAGTAATAGGGCTATAGCACAAGTGCAAGACGAATCTTATTCGCTATATATGTACGCAACTCATGATGTCATTGTTCATAACATCGCATTAGCATCTTTATGGATATATTGTAATTTTTCAGTGAGTAGAAATTTGATTTTGTAACGTTATTTTTTTGAAATTTCAAGCTTATTATTACTTTTAATATAATATGAATTATTATAGCTGATGTTCAAGTCCATCAACACTTATCTGTTGAAAGACAAACTTGCGAAATAAAACAAAGCATTCTCTCTGGACATTTTTATAGCTGATGTTCAAGTCCATTTTTATATGTTTATTCTATCATAATTCCTTCCATCCTTTCTGATATCTATCTACAACACTTAAAAAATAAGGAGGAGGGATAGTCCCAGTAGAAGTTCAAATTCTTGTTTTGAATTCAAGAAAATCAAATTAATATTATTTGTGACAGCACATGATCAGAATTTGAAATCTTTAGGCCTTGACACAATGTTTGATTATATTGATAATTTGAAATTATTGTTTGTTTTTTAAGATTTTTTTATTCTGCTTTCTTCGTCTAGGAAACTGGTGAAGTTATTTCACAATTGTTTCTAGAGATTCTGCCATCAGGTGACATTGTTGCTCGTGTATTTATGTAGTTTTAATACATCGTCGGTTTTGAATTCAATAGGAGAGAAGATAATCCCAGCAGAAACTCAAATTCTTATTTTACGTCAATGTTTCCAATTCTAGAAAAAGGAGGTTATATTGCTACCACAATTTTTATTTGATACATCACATTTTAATTGCAATTAAACCTTCAATCTTTACTCGTTATAGGAATTATTTCCATCGAATTCTTATCTTTATCATTCCATTAATTAGTACGTCTCATTTTTTATGGTGATTTATATTAAAAAAAAATTATTTTTATACTTTGAAATGAGGAAAAAAATATTTTTTTTGCAATTTTTATTCTATTAAAAATATGAAGAAAAAATAAGTTATTTTATGTCATTTAAACGAAATTTTGGACATAAAACTATTATCAGATAAAAAAAATATGTTAATTAATAGAAAGTTTGAGTATAAGAAAGACGTGAAAAATTGTTAGGTAGATAAGTGCAATAATGAACTAAGATTAAGAACTTTAAGTGATGTGAGAAATAAAAAATTGTGGTGTGAATATAATCAAATATCAAGAAAAGAAAAGATAATCCTAAAAGAAAGCTCAAATAATTCTTAATGAAATTTCTTACTCATACTACTTGAATTCAAAAGGCATTTTTGAAAATTATTCAAACACAAATTAAGACTCCTCCATATATTAAATACATCAAACCAACAGTAAAAGGCAATTCTTATATTTTCAAATTCTTCTTCTTATACTGTTGTGTTTATACGTATTTGCTCTAATAGCGTCTCTTCCATTTTTGTTTTAATTTTAGTTGAAGAGGATATTTTATGAATATTGAGATTTTATAAAAATGTCCGAAGAATTTTAATGAAAATAAATATTATTGGATGAATTTAGAGTGATAATCTTATTTAAGTTTATATACATCATAAGGTTAAAAATATAATATAATTTTCTTTTTATTAGATATAAATTATTTATTAGTCCCAAGCCACACAATTATCTGATCATAGTCATAATCACATACTCCTACATGGTTACATTCTCAAATCGATACCCACGTTCCCTTCACCTCTCCCTACATTACCTCTCCCTACATTACCACCCTCTCACCTAAATATGGCATTTCAATATCCATTATCTTCTGATTCTATCACATGAAATGTTTAATCTATAGCATTGCTTTAACAATTTGATTGCTTGGAAACTATCTACATTTAGGGTGGTAGGGTGTATATTCATGCTTCATTTTTAAGGGGATGGGGTGAGGTGGATGCACCTGATTTTTTATTTTTTATTTTTTTTAAAATAATAATAATTACTATCTCATTAATGAAATTAAAACTTAAAGGTTTGAATTGAGCCCAAGTCCAAACCAAATATCTCGAAGGGAAGAATTCACAACTCAGCTTTCAAGTATGGGTCATTCAAGTATCAGGCTTGTAAGTTCAAATATGCAAAAATCAAGTGCCTGTCTGGACTGGATGAAAACTATAATTTAGCCCGTTAAAAATTACAATTTGAACGATTAGGATAAAAATGTCTGACACAAATCCAAAAACAGTCACATATTTACACTCTAATTCGAAGGGAAGAATTCACAACTCAACTTTTAAGTATGGGCCATTCAAGTATCGGGCCTGTAAGTTCAAATATGCAAAAATCAAGTGCCTATCTAGACCGAATGAAAACTATAATTTAGCCCGTTGAAAATTACAATTTGAACGATTGGGATAAAAATGTCTAACACATATCCAACAACAGTCACATATTTACACCCTAATTGTCGAATTTACCCTCAGTTGTTAAAGATATTGGACATATCCAACTACAGCATCGACGCTCACGTTGTACGCAACGCCGCCCAAAATTGGCACTACAATCACCACCGCAACCTCACCACCATAGTCGATAACCACTACCACCAGCAAAACACACAACCAAAACTACTCTAAAATCACACAAAATCAAATTCACGGCTGAAGACCACTCCAAAGCCATGGTCGAGCATCCGTGTGCGCGGGGCTCAAATCGCCGCGACGATGTGAAAAAGCTTCTTATTTATATTCATATTTCATTTTTAAGGGGATGCGGTGAGGTGGATGTACCTGATTTTTTTTTATTAAATAATAATAATTACTATCTGATTAATGAAATTAAAGGCCTGTTTGAGCCACATTATTCCAAAAAAAAAACATTATTAAACAGTGATTTGACATCATTTCAACCACATATTATTCAATAAAATAATATTACACGTAAATAAAAACTTTTTCTTATTTTTTTAACCACACATTTTCCATCAATACACTATTCAAGAATGCATTATTATCAAAATAATGTGACTCAAATACCCCCTAAAACTTAAAGGTTTGAATTGAGCCCAAGTCCAAACCAAATATCTTGGAGGGAAAGAATTCACAACTCTACTTTTAAGTACGAGCCATTCAAGTATCAGGCCTATAAGTTCAAATATGCAAAAATCAGGTGCCTATCTGGATCAGATGAAAACTGTAATTTAGCCCGTTAAGAATTACAATTTGAATGGTTGGGATAAAAAAGTCTGACACATATCAAACAACGATCACGTATTTACACCTTAATTGTCGAATTTGCCCTCAATTGTTGGAGATATTGGACATATTTAATAATTAATTAAAATATTTTATTAATTAAATATATTAAGGTCACAATTATACAATTAATGATCACAGATGCATACTCATAAATGACAACATCGCATATTGTCAAATTAATTAGTCACAAATTATTTCCTCGATCACAGATTATTTTATCATTCGCAAATCAACCAATTTATAGGTCATAGACTTTCAAATTAATTGTTCACAAATTATTTTTCAATCATATTATCAAATTTTAGGTCACAATTGAATACTTAGTCATAAATTAGCCAATTTATTGGTTAAAGATTTTCAAATTACATGGTCACATATTATCAGTCACATGTTATCAATTTTTCATGTCACATTTGAATACGTGATCACAAATTATACAATTTATTGGTTCAGTCCCAAGTAATTAGTCATAAACACCCCCATTCCATCTCCACCTACAGCCATCGCCACTGCCACTATCCCTACCAACAAAACAACAGACCAAGTTACCATCACTGTAGCACCATCATTACCAACACCTGCACCACCAATGGTTCAGCCACGCCATCGACCCCACCAACACCACTAGCTTTCCATCTCAACCACACTAAAACAACAATTCCCACCCAAAAAATCCCTAAAGCCATGGCTATCGACCACCAAAAACACCACCACCGCTACAGCATCGATGCTCACGTTGTACGCAACGCCGCCCAAAATTGGCACTACAATCACCACCGCAACCTCACCACCAAAGCCGATAACCACTACCACCAGCAAAACACACAACCAAAACTACTCTAAAATCACACAAAATCAAATTCACGACTGAAGACCACTCCAAAGCCATGGCCGAGCATCTGTGTGCGCGGGGCTCAAATCGCCGCAACGATGTGAAAAAGCTTCTTAGATCAGGGCATGTAATATGAAAGGAAGCGCATAGTGTCGCTACTCACGACGGTCAGTGGTGACGTCGCTGCACCGAAGATCCTCTTCCAGGGGAGGCGTTGTTGAGAGAGAAGAGAGATCAGGGTGAAGAGAGTGACTTGTGTGTTTAGAGAGAGAGAGAGATGGTATGGGGAAGGGTTAGGTTTTGTGTTTAGGTTGGGTGGGTAAACAACGGATACCTGATTTTTGCTTAAATAAACTACCCAGCTAAATTTTGAATTAGAAATTTTAAACACATGCTTTTATGTAATTTCCTCTATCTCAACCGACCGATGATGATGGGTTTGGATTGGTACGGTTTATGGGCTCAAATGGTTTGATATGGGTTGATCTAGAGATGACAATTTGAACCGTCAAAATCAAAAATCGTAGTTGGTGCAATGGGGCGGATATTATTTTGATTTTAATGAACCGGTTCGTGGTAGTGCGGGTATGGTATTTACGCCGTCGAACTGAAACCGAACCGATTACCCACTCTATAAATAAATAAATAAAACACAATTGATTTGATTATTGGGCTTTACACTACTTTTCTATCCAGTTCAAAATAAAATCCCCCCATTACATCTACTTGACTCAGTCGACCAGCCCACTTACCATTAGCTCAAATAGTATTAGTATGACAGTATATAAATGCAAACCCCACTCTCCATAAATCACAAACTCATGCACGACTCTATTGCCTCCACGATCCAAGTCGTCGTCGCCTTCGAAAATTTGTTACATTTGTTAGCCATTCTATTACTGCTGATCATGTAAAAACAGAGTTCGACGTTTTTCTAGACGAGTCAGTATTACAAAGGATGGAAAGTTTTGATTTATTAACGTGGTGGAAGGCAAATTCAATAAAATTTCCAACTTTACAGAAGGTTTTAAGAGATTTATTAGCAATTCCAATATTTACTGTGGTATTCAAGTCGATGTTTAGTACAAGT